GTAAATACACAGGTGAACATCGCTGAAACAAGTGAACACGCAGGTGAACACGGCTGATACAGGTAAATACACAGGTGAACATCGCTGAAACAAGTGAACACGCAGGTGAACACGGCTGATACAGGTAAATACACAGGTGAACATCGCTGAAACAAGTGAACACGCAGGTGAACACGGCTGATACAGGTAAATACACAGGTGAACATCGCTGAAACAAGTGAACACGCAGGTGAACATCGCTTAAACAGGTAAACACACAGGTGAACATGGCTTAATGCATGGCCTGCAACACTGGCTAAAAGGAAGGGCACCATCGACCAGAAGGTCACAACAGGTAAGACTCAGAGTAGGGCCATAACCAATACAGCAACATAGAGCAAGAATGTCACACAGAGTAATAAGATTACACAGTGGAAGGTGTACCAGGTATTACCAGAGCCCTGTAGCCCTGGAGACCTTAGGCTTTCAACCATCGTGCCAGGTCCTATGTGCTGCAGTGGCTAGGCCGAGTGTAGTGTAGTTAACCGAGAAGAAGAGGAAGAAGTGGAAGGTACAATAGGAAAAGAAGTTCACACAGAGGAGGCAACTCTCACCAAAGTCCGGATTGAAGAGGCTGTCAACGACTAGCTGGAAGAACTCCTTGGAGACGCCACCCTCGTCGATGCCCTGTTCTCCGTCAAACTCCACGTACAGCTGCTTCTTCAGGTCGGCCGGATTCTCCATCACAATCATCTCCAGCTGCAACACGATAACCCAGTGTTTCTTATACATAAGAGGCACAGTAGCACACTGCCATTCTCAAATTTAACATCGCCATTGTGGAAATGTTCCTGTATTTACTGATAAGTATATCCTGTATCTATATACCTATAAGTATATCAATACATCCTGTATTTTTCCTGTATTTACTGATAAGTATATCCTGTATCTATATACCTATAAGTATATCAATACATCCTGTATTTGAAGCCATCATGCACATTTTTTTCCCAAACTAGCCATTACCTCCTTTGTCTAATTTTCCCTCAGAAGAAACCCTGCAACCGCCAGCGAACCGGCAGATAACAGTTCAGGGTTTGCACACTGAAGAGAAAGCATTTTTTCAGAGAGTTTTCCAGAGTTTTCAGTTTTTTGGCGACAGCAAGATTTGAGTTGGATAGAATCATCGTGCCTAGTATCCTCCAATCAACGATTGGTGCACAAACTCTGGCATGAAGTTTCAATGCCTCTCAGACCCAAAAGATGCACTCAATTTCCAAAGCCTGAAAGCCAATGATAACAATATATTTTGCAGGACTTTTCAGACTTGGAAAATAGCGTTTTCAAATTACTGTACTTTCTAGGTTTTCCAGGAGCCACACGAACTGAGAATGACAAACAGAACAATGATCCCCCCATGCTCTTCTTTGTGACGTCTCCTAGTGGACATACTACCAACTTCACTCATGACTTGTGCTCTGCTACGTGGAAATGCTGGTCCTCTTTCCCCTAGTGAAACACCCTCGCCACATTTGCGGCGCACCCTAGTGGAATGCCCTCTGCCCACAACCTGCCGGTACCCTGTGTTGGCACCCCTAGTGGAATGCCCTCACCACACCTGCCGGCTTACCCTCGTGCCGCACCCTAGTGGAATGCCCTCGCCCACAACCCTGCGGCTGCCCTCAGGCGCACCTAGTGGAAGGGGCCCTCAGCACGAAAGCCTGCCGGCTACCCTCGTGGCGACCCTAGTGGAATGCCCTCGCCACGACCTGCCGGCTACCCTCGTGTCGACCCTAGGTGGAATGCTCCCTTCGCCCACGATCCTGCCGGCTTTGCCCTCGTGGCGCACCCTAGTGGGAAATGCCCTCGCCCACGGACCTGCCGCTACCTCCGTGGCGCCCCCTACCCAGCGCCGTGGCATGGGCTCACTCGAACGAGAGCCGTCGGTCGATGATGTTATCGCGGCGCGACGCGCGCGCAGGTAGGGGTGGGGGCGTCGCTTCGCACGAGCGCCTGCAGCACGGAGAAGCGCCGCTCGTGGTACAGCGCACGCCGGGTGCTCAAAGGATGCCTGCACCTTCGCTGATCGTCAGGCAGGAACGGGAAGTCGGACGGGCGAAGGCGATCATGGAAGCTGCGATCGCTCCAGCTGATCACTCAGCACGTCCTGCGTTCTGGCAAGTGCTGGTGGCGCGTACGGCCGGGCGCAGGCAAGTCGAGACCGTGCGACGGAGAGGCGCGGCGTGCGCAGCGCATCCGCCGCCGGCGGCCTTCGCTTTCCTTCGGGGGCCATGGCGCCCTGAAGAAGTCGGCCATTGACTCGTCGGTCGGCACGCTCGACGCCGCTCGCTGGCCGACCTGCTCCGCGGCGGCTGAAGCGCCGGCTGACGAGGCTCGCGGTAGAACACGACCTTTGAGAGCTTCGCGCCCTTGCCACCGTATCGTCTGTCCGGCGACGGCGTAGCCACGCGCCGCACTGCGCGTCGACGATGCGCACCGTCGCAGGATTGCAGCGTCGCCGGCCAACGTGTGCAGCGCCGCGCCGCGTCGTAACGTTCGACAGGGCGCGTGCGAGCTGAGCGCGAGACCCCACCGTATCAGCGTTCGCCGGCGGCAGCGGCCAAGGCTCCTGGAGCCGCCGCCTTTCAGCGTACTCGCGTGCTGTGCAGCTCGCGGATCTACCGATGAGCACCGATGAATGCGTTTGCAGCGCGTGCGTGCCGGCCGCCGCTCCAGTGCCGTGCCGTTGTACTGCGCCTCGAAGCGCGAGCGTCTGCATGCGAGTGACGTTTCATCGTATGAGCCGAGTCTGGGAACGGCAGGAGCCGTGCGATCGGCAAACAGGCGCGCGTAGCCGACGCGCCCACGGCCGCAACGTCCACCGCGACGCGGCGTCCGTCACGTGCTCCGCAAGGGCAACCGCGTCCGCAGCCGTGGCGGCCGCCGTCCGACGCCGCCGCGCCAGCGCAGTCCAGCCGTCTCCACTCACCTGCCGTCGATGCTCGGTGTCCTTGTCTTGGTCGCCCTCGAGCGCCACCGCTTCTCCTCCTTGCACGGAGTGCGTTCTCACTACATGCCGTCATCCGGGGCTTACGGTGGCGCCACCCGCAGCAGGAAGCTGCTGGTTGAGCACGGTGGGCGTCAGCAGAACACGTCGCCCGATATCCGTCATACAGTCGAGAGTTGTTCTGCTGTTCCGACCGTTGTAGAACTCGTACATGCTTTCCTCAGTAAGAAATGAATAGCCTTGCCTGCCAACGTCACAACATAACAATCAACGGTAAAAAAAAAAAAAAAATTCCACGGGAGTCTTTTTCACGTATGTGGGAAAAATAAGCTGTTTGCTGTCCGAAAATTTTAAACGGGACTTAGTTTTGAGCCTCTCGCGGAGCTGATTCGGAGGTTTGAAAGCGAGATCGCTCAGCACTCCCGTGTATTTTTTACCCTGATACAACACAGTATGCGTCACCGCATCAAGATCAAGTGCTATAACCCAGGGCCTCGAATTAACCGACGGCACCGACGGCAATGCCGTCGCGTGCCCTATCAATCGGCCGTACTTTGCCCCTGGAAAAGTGCCAAACCCGACGACGGCAGTCACCGCGCTTACCTTTTGTGACATTGCCCGTCGGTGCCCTTTAATATACTGCCCTAGTTTTCGTTTTTAGTCGAGTCAACATTAACATGCTGCGGCGTGCGTGCTGTAGTTGCAATGATGAGTTTAAAACGATAGTCGCAGAGGGAATTAATAAACATAAATTATTCGCCTCCTGATAGCGGGCCCATGTAAAACTTTGCTTGTTACTGTACTTCCATTAGCAGAGGGGGGTACAGGGCGTCGATGTTACAGTGTAAGCTTACATGGGGGCCATATTGTTTGTACATTAAAAGCACAAACGGATGTTGATGTACTAATTTGTTATGAGTTTTTCCTTTATTTTACAAAAGTGCCTTTGTGCCCTTCTCAAATTTTGAGAGTTGCCTTGGTGCCTTTCAAAATTGCCTCTGTGCCCTTCCATTTTAGAGAAAATTCAAGGCGATTTCTCACATGCCCTAAAAAATTGCTTTGCCCTTCTCGTCGCTTAATTCGAGCCCTGCTAGAACCGGTCAGGTAAAGTTGGGGACTGATTTTACATTATATCATAAATAGCTCCTTGGTGAGGAATGGAATCACCTTGCCTGAGACGTCGCAGGATAACAACAGATAGGGTCATATATGGTACATGTATGTCATATGTCACAGATAAAATGTTAAAGTTGAACGGTGTTGATCAGCAAAAGCCTAACATTATATAATGCAAATAATAATAGAAAACAGCAAGGCTGATAATATTTGTGTGAAATTTCTTCTAAGACATCTTTCTAGTAAAGTTTCCAGTAAATATAGGCCAATAAAATAAATTAAATGATATTAAACAATTAAATACACATACTAATCAGTAATACTATTATATTTTGGATTTCAATTGCCTATTAATGAATGAATAAAGTGAATTAGCAGGTATATTAAAGATAAAATATGGCTGTTTAACACCTCACCATAATAACTAAAACTTTGCTTCTTTGCTAAACTTTTACTATTATTTTTAGGTGACACAGCCTGTAAACACAGACCGAGTCATTAGTTGGGTTGCCAGTAAACAACATTGAGAAATCTGGTTTGTAAGGTAACATGCTATGAAATTAGACAAACTAATATGAATTTGGCAGGAAGGTTATATACAGGTGACTAAATTACACAAGGTGTCAGTCACTCTAGCATTCCCTAATAGTATGGACTAGATAGCCATATTCTACCTTTAAATATACTGCATGAGAACATTATGAACAGCAATCTTACTTGACGATTGTGTTGAACTGGATGCTTTTGGCTCGGATGACTTTTCTAATGACTTAGTAACTGTGTCTACATCTTTGCTTGATTCTTCGGAGCTGCCTAAAGTCACTACAAAGTTGAGCAAAAGTATAATTTGGCTACGTGCGAAAAAAATACTGGTCACATATAATTCATCTACAACACAATCTTGAAATGAGATTTACCAAGAAATTCTATATAACGTACAAATGATAGATAAAAGCGTTCAATTGAGCTACGTAAAAACAAGAAAATAGGAACCAAAAACGAAAATGTTGTGCGATCGACAATAATTTCTCAACCACATGTGCATATATACGGATGACAGGGTTTCTTATACATAAGAGGCACAGTGGCGCACCGCCGTTGTCAAATTTAACATCGCCGTTGTGAAAATGTTCCTGTATTTACTGATAAGTATATCCTGTATCTATGTATCTATATACCTAGATACGTATATCAATACATCCTGTATTTGAATCTATCATGCACGTTTTTCCCCCAAACACTGGGCATATACCTCCTTGTCTAATTGTCCCTCAGAGAGACCCTGGGATGAGCAAGTTATGCACCCATTTGCACTTGCAGTAGCTGTAATTCAATTAGGTGTGACACAACACTGTAGGACTTATGGTTACTACAAATGTACATTATAGCCTCTACATAGTCCCTAGCACTGTATTGAATTTGCTACTTCTTTGCACCAATTAGGAATCAACACATCACTTATAACCTGTATGATTTGTGTGCTTACCTGGCAGCCCTGAGTATAACCATTTTAGCGGCTACTTCCTGACTGTAGTAGGAGGGGTGACTGGCCAGGTCAGTGGCCTTGGCGTGCAAATCCTTGAAGGGACGAATACCACACAAACTATCGCTTGGCTCTGAATTTATACATTCCACA